GAGTGCCGGCTGACTTTTTCTTTGCAGATGAATGTCGTCTGTTCCTGGTTTGCATTTCACATTTTCAGGTTTCTCTGCTGGTTAGCAGTTATTTTGAGTGTTTGCAAACATGTTGGTGTCTTCCACTGCAAACTATCAGTGACCACAGTAATCTGCTAGCAATCAAAGCAACCGTAGGGAGATGTTTTTATTTCAGTGCCATATTCAGAAACGGGTAAACATATTTTTTCTTACTCATGCACTTAGCTGCATGAGTAAAATTCTATATTAATTACAAAATATCAGTGATCCTGTAACTTAACCAAGATGTGTAGTGAAAGAGGAAAAATGAGGCAGTCGGCAGAAAATACCCAGTAATTTGTCTAATTTGTGCTAATTGTGATCGCTGACAAACTGTGCGGAGGAGTGGGAGATAAATGAGGAATATGATGAGCAGTTAACAACGTTGCCTTTCCTTTGAATGTCTTGTTTAAAGACGTTCTGAACAGAAACCAAAGTATGAATTGGTGAAAGGAGAATTTGCCATTATGAATAAGCCATACGGCCATCGGGAAAACTCTCGGGGTCGACCTCGGGATAACAGAATAAATGGCAGATTTAAGTGCCTGCCCTCAAACTGAGAACTCCACTTTCTTTAAGTACTAACAAATTGAGTTGAGAAGAAAGCGAGGAACGAGAGAAGACATCACCGGTGGGCACGGGAGCAGAAATGCCTTTTTAACAGACTCTTCACGTTTTTCTTTTCTTTTCTTTTTTAAAAAAAAGCTTTTGCAGAAGGGAGAGGTCACTTTTTTTTGCACGGGCAGCATTTACTGCACATGATTGTCCCTGCAGCTGGAGCTGCCATTTCACAAATTGCACCACGCTAATTGCATCAGCGTTCCCATCTAATGGAAGCTAAAGCCGTGCGTGTGCATTAACAGATGACCCGTCTCTGTTATTTTGACACACAATACTTTTGTCAACCCGGCATCCATTTAAATGACACAAACACTGCATTAATGACGTATAATGACATGTGATCAATGCAGCAAATAATGACTAATGTAAATTTACACTGATGTGCCAAAATAACAAGACCAGCCCAACATAATGTGCTGCTGGTCTTTGCATCTGAAACATAGACGTGCTATCATGACATCATCCAGGGGTTAGTGAGGTCTCGTTATAAAGCCTCGAGTTTTAAAACCAGATGTGTTGAGTGAGAGGTGGATCTGACTGTCAAACTGATCGCGCCTGGAGCTGGAGCATGCTCATTGGTCATCAACTTGTGGTCAAGGTCAAGTTCAAGTTTATTTATATAGCACATTTCCTACAGTCCACACAAAGTGCTTAACAATGTAAAACCACTAAAATCAATAAAATGCACAACAGTGATGCAGTAAAATATAGAAGACAATAAAACAACTAAAACAACAACAATTTATGATTGACAAGTCACTGGCCAGTGATTAAATAACCAAATTTTAAAGAGTTTAATAAATAGTTTAGGTTGGAGGAGATGCCGTGGCAGACCCAGAGATTACATCTCTCGACTGGCCTAGGAACACAGGAGGCGGCCGGTGAG